CATAGTATGTACAGATATATTTTTCTATAATGTCGACAAAAGATATTACGGCGCCCAAGAGACCACGGAACAGAAACATGATTACAATTTTTAAAGACTTAATGGCATTCTTTCTAGTACGACATATTTTATGGCTTCAAACGTTATTACAGCGGACACTTCGTAATTGAAATAAACGCCCCATTTTTTATTTGCTAAACTCTGCGTATTAGACTAATTGGCCTCCGCGTTCGAGAAAATCTTAGTAAGGAAAATGGGTTCTGTACAGCTGACTGACCCAATCTGCGGCCATAATCTGAATACCAAAGCCGTCTATATAAAGGTTACAAAGAAAGAGCGGTATACAAAACAAAAGAAAAAAAAAAGTGTGTGAAATATTGCCGAGGTTCTGTAAAATCGTCATAGTGTTAGCTGGGTGAGAAGTCAATCGATTTGTAGAGTAAAAGTCATTCTGTAAATAAGTAAATAAAAAAATTATTGAGTTATGCGAAAAGTGCGTTTTGGCGGCTAAGATAGAAATAGGCAGACGTTTGGAACATTAAAATACAACACGTATGTCGCGTAACACTGCACATAACTTGCCTTGTAAAGTTGCAAATGCGTTGCATTGTAACGTTTCAAATATGTACCCTTGTAACGTTACAAATGCCCTGTAGCGTTAGAAATGTTTTACCCTGTCACGTTACAAATACGTTGGCTTCTAACATTGCAAATACGGTGCCTGGTTTCAGTTGCAAATAAGTTACCTTGGAGAATTCGTAGTCTTGTAACGTGGCCATTGCATGTTGTAACGTTCCAAATACATTGTCCTGTAAAATTTCAAATACATTGTCTTGTAACGTTTCGAATACGTTCCCTTTACAAATGCATTGGTCTTGTAACGTTAAAATGTTTTTACCCTGTCACGTTACAAATACGTTGGCTTCTAACATTGCAAATACGGTGCCTGGTTTCAGTTGCAAATAAGTTACCTTGGAGAATTTAGTCTTGTAACGTGGCCATGAAACGATTTGTGTAACGTTCTTGTCCTGTAAAATTTCAAATTACAAACGTTTCGAATACGTTCACTTGTAACGTTACAAATGCATTGGTCTTGTAACGTTACAAATGCCCTGTAGCGTTAGAAATGTTTTACCCTGTCACGTTACAAATACGTTGGCTTCTAACATTGCAAATACGGTGCCTGGTTTCAGTTGCAAATAAGTTACCTTGGAGAATTCGTAGTCTTGTAACGTGGCCATGAAACGATGTTGTGTAACGTTCCAAATACATTGTCCTGTAAAATTTCAAATACATTGTCTTGTAACGTTTCGAATATTTCAAAAATACATTGTCTTGTAACGTTACAAATTTCGTTAATATGTTTTACCCTGTCACGTTACAAATACGTTGGCTTCTAACATTGCAAATACGGTGCCTGGTTTCGTTACAAATGTTATTGGGAGAATTTACTTTGTCTTGTAACGTTACAAACACTTCGCGTCGTTGGCTCGTAACGTTCGATGAAGTTGTTGTGTAACGTTCCAAATACGTTGTCCTGTAAAATTTCAAATACATTGTCTTGTAACGTTTCAAATATGTTCACTTGTAACGTTACAAATGCATTGGTCTTGCAACGCTGCCAATGCGTTGGCTCGTAACGTTCAATAGACGTTGCCTTGTAACATTGCAAAAATCTATTTTGCAACGTTACAAGGGGGCGTAAATACAGTCCCTTGTAACATTGCCAGTTCGATGCTTTGTATTGTTGAAAATATATTGCCTTGAAAATTTGCTCATACGTTGCCTTGTAACGTTACAAATGTATTGCTTTGTAACATTGCAAATACGTTGGCTTATAATATTACAATTAGCGTTTCTTGTAAGATTCTCTAACAGAAAATGGGCAATAAATAAGCATCTTAGAACGTGCCTTAATCATCTGAAGTCTGAATTTTTTTTTGCTTCGAGTTTACGAGACTCTAGCAGTAGTGGGGGGGGGGCGGAAAATTCCCCACTGCCTTATGGGTGAGAGAATAAAAAGTAAACCGTAGAAAAATCCTGACAGAAGATCCGATATCGGAGAGATGGCGTATTCCGTCAGTTTTCCGCCATTTCTGCAGATGTGACATCAAAATATTCGTTTATCCTACCGGGTCTCTATCGACAGTGACGAAAGCAGGATCTTGACGTATGGGAAGCTGATGGCCGACACCGTTCTTTCCCAGACCTGTAGCTCAAAGATGCACCAATCGACTTTCGAGACAGACAGGCCTGCGCCATAATACCTAGAGTTTATTTTATTTTATTTTATTTAAGCGCAGCACACTAGACTGGCGTCGAGATCTCATCAATTTACATCTTGCCTTGTTAGAGGTAGCCGTAACTTCTATACTAGCACTTTCTTTTCTCGCACTTCTCGCTTGTGGGACTCCGTTCCAGGTCCATGCTTTCCAGACAACTTTAATCTTCAGAAAGAATTAAATACAATGTCAATCGCTACCTACTGTCCTCCTGATTACTCTTTTCTCTTCCCGTTCATTATTAATATTTATGTTTCTAATTCCCCTTGTGTCTTAGTGGCTTTACTGTTTTGTATGGGGGAAAAACATACACACACACACACACACACACACACACACACATATATATATATATATATATATATATATATAATTTAAAGAAAAAATAGAACACTTTAAGGTTCCATAGTTATAATTTATTTCACCAGAGATTTTATTTTACTCTGGATCTTCAGACTTCACTTTCAAGGGTGAAAAAATGAATTTAAAATTTACAATTTAATGTGCAGTATTAAGCTTATATATATATGTGTGTGTGTGTGTGTGTGTGTGTGTGTGTGTGTGTGTGTGTGTTAAATTTCTCAGAATAAATCTGTAGAGAAGACAAATATACAATCGGAAAATAGTCAAATGACGAAAAGCGTCGGCAAGGCCTGAGTCCTATTTAACATTTATCCATCTATCTATCTATCTCTTCCCCCCTCACTTGTCGCGCTCGCTCTCAACCCCCCACTTTTCGCGCTCACTCTTTCCTCCCCACTTGTCATGCTTGCTCCCCACATCACCCTCGCTATTCCCCGTTTCTCTCTCTCTCTCTCTCTCTCTCTCTCTCTGTGTGCGTGTCAAAGTTCTCAGAATAAATCTGTAGAGAAGACAAATTGAATAAAATACACAATCAGAAAATAGTACCCAGTCCTTGCCGACGCTTTTTGTCATTTGACTTTTCACATAGGGAACTGCACTTCAATATTTCTCAGCCAGAGCCAATTCATTTTCAAATTTTTAGTGATCTTTTAATTAAGGAAGCATGTTGAAATTTTGAAGCATGCTTTTTTAAATTAGTAATTTGAGCATTTTCAACTTTGAGCGGAGGGGGGCTTTGATATTGTTCTTTTAAATAGGCAATACTAAAATTTGTCCCAAATGTCCTTTATAAGTTCTGGTGTTCAATAGGTTAATTTTTGTTTCCAAGTGTTCAGTACTATTTTACGATTGTCTATTTTATTCAATTTGTCTCCTCTACAGATTTATTCTGAGAACTTTAACACCCACGAACTCAAGAGAGAGAGAGAGAGAGAGAGAGACGGGGAATAGCGAGCGTGATGAGGGGAGCAAGCATGACAAGAGGGTAGGAAAGAGCGAGCATGACAAGTGGAAGGAAATAGATAGATAGATGTTAAATAGTACTCAGTCCTTGCCAACGCTTTTCGTCATTGACTATTTTCCGATTGTCTATTTTATTGTCTTCCCTACAGATTTATTCTGAGCACCTTCATACATTGTTGACATGGAAAGCAAAAACACACATTTAGTAAAAAAAAGAAAAGAAAAAGAAAACGTTACTAATATCCAAAAAGTGGCTTACGCAAGAGTGTCTTTTAAATTTTTTGAATTTCATGTAACTACACAACATTTCAGGAGCCATGGTGGAGTAATGGATAGAGGCTTGGATTGAGGAATCTGAGAGCCGAGTTCGAATTCCAGTCGAATCTATTACATTCACTTACGTGCTAATACACTTGGGTATGAATCATCCTCAGCTATGGGTAAATAGCAGAACAGACTTGGTTCTATAGCCTTGTCTATCGCAGAAAGAAATAGCAACCTACAGTGGGGAAAAAATCTGCCTCGTCAGTCATGTATCGAAAGATACATGATTGCCTAAGTATGTATGTTTGTGCATATCTATATTTATGGGTTAAAGTGTGCAATATTAGGGATAGTGTGCATATAAATATAAAAGTCAACACTTTCAAAAATGTCCACTGTGTGTGTGTGTGTGTGTGTGTGTGTGTGTGTGTGTGTGTGTGTGTGTGCTAAAGTTCTCAGAATAAATCTGTAGGGAAGACAAATTGAATAAAATAGACAATTAGAAAATAGTTCTCAATCCTTGCCGACGCATGACAAGTGACGATAAGCAGAGGCGAAATGCTGTGTACTTAGATGATATTCAAAAATTTTAAAAACGCTCTTGGGTAAGTCTCTTTTTGTACATTAGTAACATTTTCCAATATTTTTTTCTTTTATTTTTGACTAAGTTACTAATATGCAAAAAGAGGCTTACCCAGGGGCGTCTTTTAAAATTTTTGAATTTCATCTAACTACATATTTCACTTACCTTCATAAAGTCAAATGACGAAACGTGTTGGCAAAGACTAAGTACTATTTTCCGATTGTGTATTTTATTCATATATATAATAGATAGATAGATAGATAGATAGATAAACAGAGTCCCCAAAAAAACTCTCTGTCACTATTACTATCCTTTGTATCTCTCTCTACCACTGTTACTCTCACTTTTCTCTCTCACTGTTACTTTCCTTTTAACCGCTCTCACTCTGTCATTGTTACTGTTCTTTATCTCTCTCTCTCTCTCTCTATCACTGTTACTCTCCATTTTCTCTCTCACTTTTCTCTCTCGCTTTTACTTTCACTTCTCCCTCTGTCTCACTCTCTCATTGTTACTATCCTTTGTCTCCCCCCCTCTCTCTCTCTCTCTCTTTCTATGCCTGTTACTCTCTGTTATGGTCCGGTTTCCTGTACGGCGGTGATAGTCCAAGGTAGAACCAATAAAGAAGAACTCGAACACGGATATGGAATAAAACAGATATATTACAAACAGGAATATATACAGAGAAGTAGAAGTGTTAGTGTGAACAATCAGGTTTAGTAGAGAGAACAATGTAGTCTCGACCAGTATCACTATTCCAATGTCTTGTAGTAATTGTTTGAAAGCGACTCTGTTTCGGACTGCCTCTGACTCGACTCTTGACTCGACTTGAACTACTGACGATATTCAGTCACCCCCCCCCACTGGGGCATCATGTGACACAAGGTCGGTTATTTATTGTAGGTTCTCCGATCCCGTGGGCTCGGCCCCAAAATATGACCATTGAACCCGTATAAACGGGCTCAGGGCCGGTTTACCTCCCCGAACGAGACTCCGCCCCTCGGCGTAGCCTCGTTCGGGTTATCCCGCCCCCGAAGGCAGAGAGTTCAACAAATCTGTCGTTCAAGACTTGAACTACTGACAATATTCAGTCACCCCCACGAGGGTGTCGCCTTTTTAACGTTGAGATCAGGCTCAACAAACCCCGTAAACGTCGTTCAAGGAGACTCCGCCCTTCGAACTACTTCCTCCCCCCCGTAGGAAGAGAGTACAACCGTGTAGTCGGTTCAAAACTTGAACTACTGACTCCCTGTCTACTTCTGAGGCGCAGTATTTATTAAGTATGGAATAGTCCATTATTATTATTATGGGTAAGGTCCCATAACACTCTCACTTTTCTCTCTCACTTTTACTTTCTCTTCTCTCTCTCTCTCTCTCTCAATCTGTCATTGTTACTATCCTTTGTATCTCTCTCTATCACTGTTACTCCTCCTTTTCTCTCTCTTTATCCCTGTTACTCTACCTTTTCTCTCTCACTTTTACTTTTTCTCTTCTCTCTCTCAATCTGTCACTGTTACTAACCTTTCTCTCTCACTATCACTGTTACTCTGCCTTCTCTCTCTCTCCCTTTCACTCTGTCACTATTACTAACCCTGCCTATGTTACTAATATGCCAAAAGTGACTTACCCAGGAGCGTCTTTTAAAATTTTTGAATTTCATGCAGCTACACATTTCACTAGCCTTGATCCCGGGGTAACTTAGCTAACAGTCTAACTCTCTGCCTTCGGGCAGAGAGGAACCCGGACGAGGCTCCGCCGAAGGGCAAGGTTTCGTCCGGGGAGGTAGACAGGCCCTGAACCGGTTTATACGGATTCTAAGGGAATAATTTTGGCCGAGCCTACGGGCTGGGAGAACCCACGGTAAATTCGGCCTTGTGCCACATACATCCCTCGTGGGAGGGTAGCTAAATATCACTTGCCTTGTTAAAGTCAAAGGACGAACCGCATCGGCAAAGGACTAACTATTATTTTCCGATTTTGTTGATAGATAGATAGATAGATAGATAGATAGATAGATAGATTCCTCTAAAAATCATTTCAGGAAAGAAAAAAAAATTTTTTTCGTAGTTTTATCAAATTGCGATAGCACTGTTTACTGTAGTATATTTTCTCGACTGATGACGTTTCCGACATGACAGCATCATCAACAGGTCCTTAAGGATTCTTTGTATCGCAAGAAAACCAACTACATTGAGGACCTTAGACAAAATATTCAAATTATATGTGCAGCAATCCCACTGGACCCTTTTGGCCAATGTTGACCAAGCAGTAATACGGCGTAGAAATAAATGCCTGCAAGCTAAAAAGCCACTAAAAAACTAAACTGTATGCCTACTTTTGCCCCACTGCGTGTATATATATATATATATATATATATATATATATATATATATATATGTATGTATGTATACACACACACACAGTCTGTCCCGAATAGGTATACATACTTCAGAAAAGTTTTATCAAATTGTGATAACATTGTTTACTTTGGTATTTTCTTGACAAATGGCATTAGGCTCATGGGTGTAGTATCAACAAGATCGAAAGGATATTAAATATCACAAAAAAAACGACTACATTGATAGACCTTAGACTTGAAATTGAAAATGCATGTGTAGCAATCCCACTGGACACTGGGCAACGTTTCCCAAGCATTAGTTCACTGTACCAATAAATATCTGGAAGTTAAAAGATACTATTTTGAGCATCTATGGTGATTGTAGTTACCAAAAGTAACTTGTATTAATCTTGTGATGTCTGAATAAATTTAGTATTACAATATCTATACAAGTTTTTTGTTTCCTGAAGTGTGTTTACATTTTGAGGGTGAACTAAATATATATATATGTATGTGTTTGTGTGTCTGCGTGTGAAAAATGATCTAAACTAACCTTTGACATCTGGCAAAGCTTGTTCTAGGCATCATATTTGGCTTTGTCCACAAAGTCTACCATGTCACTGTACCAATGTAAATATCTGGAAGCTAAAAAGCCACCATTTTGAGCATCTATTGTGATTGTAGTTACCAAAAGTAACTTGTATTAATCTCGTAATACCTGAATAAATTTAGTATTACAATATCGATAGAATTTAGTATTACAATATCGATACAAGTGTTTCCTTTCCTGAAATGTGTATACTTTTTTTTTGTGGGGGAGATTTTATATGCAGAGGAAGGCTTTTTTGCAATCGTTCGGTTCACTCTTTAGGAGCTATCAGAAACTGACTCTTATTTTCTCTTTTGCGTTGTTTTTATACTAAATTAAGAAATAATTCATGCGCTGTTTATTGGTGGGTTGTGGTGTCTTCCCTCTATGTTGGACTCTCCCGCCTACTATAAGATTAGTAGGAGAGAAGGCCTTGTGGGAACAGTCGCACAGATTGTTCAACTGTCCAATTTTCTGCCTCGGCAGAGGGGAACTCGGACGAGGCTTTGCCGAAGGTAGACAATCCCTGAACCCGTTTATACGGGTTCTAAGGGAATATTTTTGGCCGAGCCTACGGGCTCGGAGAACCCACGGTAAATTCGGTCTTGTGCTACATACATCCCTCGTGGAGGTGGTGGAGGGGCTGTTAAATATTAACAGTCGAATAGATTGAACGCTGGGTCAACCGACGCACACTCACTAGTCATGTAATACTCTTCTGTTGTACTTACTGTTTAATATATGATATATCTGTAACACTTGTTTTTTTTATTTCTTTAACCATTTACATGGTAACAGCATGGTGTTAAATTGATTTTGTGTGTGTGTGTGTGTGTGCGTGTGTGCGTGCGTGAGCGTGTGTGTGTGTATGTGTGTAGACTGTCGGTGTTTGATAAAACCTTTTTTTTAATAATTATTAAAACAAATTCTTTTCTTCTTTTACAGGTAAGTGTTTTTTCTTCTTCATGAAAAATGGTGAACTTTGTGGTTTAGGTGACTGGGTGTTTTGAATCGGTAAGCACATAAAATCTCTCTCTCTCTCTCCCTCTCTATCTCTCTCTCTCGCTCTATCTATCTATCTATCTCCGTCATTATTACTATTATTTGTATCTCCCTCTGTCTATCACTGGTACTCTCCCTTCTCACATGCAATCTTACTTTCCCTTCTCTCTCTCTCTCTCTCTCTCTTTGTCACTGTTCTATTTTTCTCTCCCTTTATCACTGTTACTCTCCCTTCTCTCTCATCCTTACTTTGTCTTCTCTCTCTCTCTGTCACTGTTACTATCCTTTGTCTCTCTCTACCACTGTTACTCTCCCTTCTCTCTCATTCTTACTTTCTCTTCTCTCTCTCTCTCTTTCTCTCTATTTATCACTTTTCTATTCTTTGTCTCCCTCTATCACTATTACTCTCCCTTCTCTCTCAATCTTACTTTCCCTTCTCACTCTCTCTCTCTCTGTCTCTCTCTGTCACTGTTCTGTTCTTCCTCTCCCTCTATCACTGTTACTCTCCCTTCTCTCTCAATCTTACTTTGTCTTCTCTCTCTTTCTCTCTGTCACTGTTACTATCCTTTGTCTCTCTCTACCACTGTTACTCTCCTTTCTTTCCATCTCTCTCTCACACTCTTAGTTTCCCTTCTTTCTCTGCCAATGTCACTATTCTTTCTCTCTCTCTCTATCATTGTTACTCCCATTCTCTCTCTCTGAATCTTACTTTCCCTTCTCTCTCTTTATGTGTCACTATACTATCCATTTCCTTTCTCTATCACTGTTATTATCCGTCCTCTATCTCACTCTTATTTTCTTTCTCTCTCCTTCTCTCTCTCTCTCTCTCTCTATCTGACACTGTCACTATTCTTTCTCTCTCTCTCTATCAGTTACATTTCCTTCTCTCTCCCACTGTTACTTTCCCTTCCTCCTCTCTCTCTCACTCTGACACTGTTAGTATCCTTTCTCTCTCTCTTTCTCTCTCTCTCACTGTTACTCTCCCTTATCATTGAACTATCTGTTATATACCGTACCTATGAACACTAATGTGTTTGTCCCAATCCTCATAAATACGTTGGACACTATTATAAGTGGGGGGTAATATGCTGTCTAAGTAGTCCACCACTAGCAGTGGTTTACCTACTTCACGCTGCTGGTGAGTATTGTATTCTGCTGATGTTATATAAAGATTACCATTTCATTTCCAACCTCCATTTTAGTTATTCTTCATTCAGTAACACTTTCTAGGTTACAACAAATATAAAAATGCATTACAAATAATTTTTACTATAAAAATGCATTGCAAATGATTTTTTTTTTACTATAAAAATGCATGACAAATAATTTTTACTATAAAATGATTTTTACTAAAAAAATGATTTTTTTGATTTTTACTATAAAAATGCATGGCAAATGATTTTTTACTATAAAAATGCATTGCAAATGATTTTTACTAGAAAAATGCATTGCAAATGATTTTTTACTATAAAAATGCATTTCAATTTTTACTATAAAAATGCATTGCAAATGATTTTTACTATAAAAATGCATGACAAATGATTTTTACTATAAAAATGCATTGCAAATGATTTTTACTATAAAAATGCATTGCCAATGATTTTTACTATAAAAATGCATTGACAAATGATTTTTACTATAAAAATGCATTGCCAATGATTTTTACTATAAAAATGCATTGCCAATGATTTTTACTATAAAAATGCATTGCCAATGATTTTTACTATAAAAATGCATGACAAATGATTTTTACTATAGAAATGCATTGCCAATGATTTTTACTATAAAAATGCATTGCCAATGATTTTTACTATAAAAATGCATTGCCAATGATTTTTACTATAAAAATGCATGACAAATGATTTTTACTATTGAAATGCATTGCCAATGATTTTTACTATAGAAATGCATTGCCAATGATTTTTACTATAAAAATGCATTATTATGCTATAACTTTTATTATTGTTATATACCATACCTATGAACACTAATGTGTATTTCCCAATCCTCATAAATACGTTGGACACTATTGTAAGTAGGGGCAATATACTTTCTAAGTAGTCAACCACTAGGAGTAGTCTACCTACTACAGACCGCTGGCGAGTATTGTATATTGCTGATGTTATAAAAATTACCATTTAATTTCTAATGGCCGTTGCAGTTATTCCTCATTCAGTAACACTTTGTAGGTTACAGCATTATCACTTTTCTCTCTCACACTTTTGCTCTCTCTCCTCTCTCTCTCACACAATCTATTATACTCTCCATTCTCAGTCTATCACTGTCACATTTCCTTCTCTCTCTCTTACTAAGTTTTAATATTTTTTCAGTCTTTCTTTCCGTTGTTCTTTCTTTCTTTTATTTTTTCTTTCTTTTCCCCAGTTTTAACGTTCTTTCTTTCATTCTTATTTTTAATAACTTTTTTTCATTCTTTCTTACTTTCCGTTTTCTTTTTCTTTTCTTTCTTTCTTTGATTCTTAATTTTAATATCTTCTTTTTTTCTTTTTCTTTCATTCCTTCTTTCCTCCTTTAAATCTTAATTTTGATAACTTCATTCTTTCTTCCCTTCTTTCTTTCTTCCTTTCTTTCTTTCTTTCCTTAATTTTTAATTTTAATATCTTCTTTCTTTATTTTTCTTTCTTTCTTTTTCTTTCCTACTTCTTTCTTTCTTTCTTTCGTTTATTTTTCTTCTTATGAGGAAAACACTTATCATTTTCCTCTCATTCATTCAAAACTCACCTTTTTTCAAACTGGTACTAAAGCTGTTGGCAAGAAAAAGATTATAGGCCTCTTACTATCTGCTCTTATTTTCGTCAGTATCTTAGTCTGAATATATATATATATACAAAGAAATGGACAAGGTCCGACAATTTATTTATTAAAGACATTTTTTTTTTTTTAATGTTTAACGTTATTTTTTTATAGATACAAGTATTTAAGTAAATGCTCTGTTTATGATAAACAGTATTAAATAACATTTACCGGCCTGAATGTCCGAGAAATTTTCATAGAAAATATTCGTTCTTTGACAGGATTCGAACCTGCATCCTATACGGAACCGTCATTTACGCAGACGTGCCTTACCGTTCGGCTACAAAGAATCGTTCGGTAGACAAGGTCAATTTATTCCTTTATGCTTAATAAACTTCAATCTTCCATGAATCTCGTAAATTCATAATTAAAAATGGACAAGCAGTATCAAATTCTTTGTAAACAAATGACGTCATATATTCGAAGAAATGGACAAGCAGGTAAACAAACGTTAAAATACATAAAAAACAACGTTAAACATAAAAAATTGTCTTTAATAAATATATATATATATATATATATATATATATATATATATATATTCAGACTCGATGAATTACTTAATTATAATTATCAAATCCTCCTAATAATTTCTATTATTTGTATATCATTGCTTGAACCGGCTTCTAAGGCTCAAGTTCGAGCGGCTTGGTGATAGTAATCGTGGCTCCTGGGGGCACAGTCTTATGGTTAGAGAGAATCTCAGTTGAGTTACACCACGGAATATGTGAGCGAGCGGCGTTATATTGAGTCTGATTTGCAATCTCTTCGTCACCGTGGAACAGTTGGTATGACGTTTGCTTGATAACCTAAGTGTCCGGGTTTCAATTCTCTGTAGTGGATGCGCACTGCTGATGAGTCCCAAATATAGGACGAAACGGCCATCCAGTGCTTTCTGTTGAGGTTTCTTTCAGATTCGATGAATTGCTTAAATATAATTATCAAATCCTCCTAATAATTTCTATCTTATATATATATATATGTATAAACATACTGAGAGAGATGAAACCATATTCTCTTGAATCTATGTTTTGAGCAGCAGAACAGATGGAGTCCTATAGCCGTGGTTGGCAAACAGTCTACATTAGAAAAAAGACGGTAGCCTACTGCGGGAATATCTTCTGTAAGGCCAGTTACGAATTGAAAGAGACATGATCGATAAAGCCTATATCACGTAGAGCACTTCACCGACAGAGTGATCTATCTATCTATCTATCTATCTATCTATCTTCTTTTAGATGGGTTTTATTTTGGCTGGGCCTACAGGCTATCTTGTCTTATTCTATTTATAAATACCATCTATCTTAAAGGTTTATATCATATCTGGTTTCAATCTGTTCATTCTTTCTTCTTCTTCTCTCTTCAGCTATAAATAGGAGGGCAGACTGGGTTCTGTAGCCTTGGATGGCAAATGGTCTAAGAGAAGGACAATTCTTAATTCAAAACCTGTGGAGGGTCATTTGGGGACCTTGTGGCACGTAGTGCACCAGGTCTCTGTATTCGGCCCTTCAAAAAATGTGCTTGATTCTGCACAAAGCCTTCAGCACTATAATCAAATCACATGTGCTGGTGTCTGGGCCTTTGGTTCCTAGGAACTGAGCAGCTTGACCCTCATACGTCGAATACGACGGGAGAGTCCAGCCACCAGCAACGAGCAACCGGGATGCTGTTACAGCAGCCATTCGAGAAATGTCACTCCTCGGCAGCCGTTTTTCTTCCGTGACGATGCTTATCTATGAAATTCCACATAGATATCAAAATACCCATCTTTGATAAGATCTATGTCGCATTTTATGATACCATTTCATTAATACACACCTAGGGAAATGAGCAAAGTATAAAATGATAAATAATGTAAGAAATTTATTGCTTTCAAAGTAAAAAACAAAACAAAACAAACTATAGCAATCGTATAATCATGCGTATATATCTTACCATGTGTGTATATATATATATATATGTCACACATTATGAAATGGACAAAGTCCGAAAATATAAAAAGAGTGTTAAAAATAAAAATGTCTTTATATACGTCATTTTTATAGATAAAAATATTTAAGTAAATTCTCTGTTTATAATAAACAGTATTAACAACATTTACCGGCCTGAATGTGACGTCATTTGTTTACATTTGGATACGCATCGAGCAGATATGAATGTATCAGAGGAAATCATGCAGAATTGTGATTTAAAAACAGTAAAATCGACCTTGCTAACCGAAATGCTCCTCTGTGGCTCAATCGGTAAAAGCACGTCAGGCTACATGACGGTTCCGTATAGGATACAGGTTCGATTCCTGTCGGAGGACGCATATTCTCTATGACAATTTCTCAGACATTCAAACCGGTAAATGTTGTTTAATACTGTTTATTATAAAGAGAGCATTTACTTAAATATTTGTATCTATAAAAGAACGTAGTAATTGAGACAAATTTAGACAACAAAGATCAGTTCCGAGCTTAGCTTTCCATTGTCTTCCGCGTTTAGCTTTCCGCAGCGAATGCATGCAAACAACGCGAGTAATGGCTGCCGTCAACGACACAAATGTATCCCAAATTTCATTGTCGATAGCAGCAAAACTGTAGATTTTACCAAATTTATCAATTCGTATGGAGCATGTACAATTACACAGAAATATAAGTATTTTGGAAAGTTTTAATGCTAACTGAGTTCGGGTGTTACACTGCAAATTAACCAAATTTTTTATATACCAAAATTCGATTAACGTGTACATAATACTCGATTAGTACGGTAAAACATTCTTCAGTTTAACCATAGTAATTGAAACTGATTTTTTATAGTTACCAGTTAAATAAAAATCTTATAAAATTTAAAGAAGGAAAATAGTTAACTATTTTGTTTGTCAAAATTTACGTTATCTAAGTAAGTAAAATCGTGTTCAACAATGGACAGTTACAAGTAGATAAATTTTATAATTTGAGTCGTTAATAAAAAATATATATTAGAATATTTTTCACTTTAAATTTTTTCAATATTTTATTGTTTAAAGCATCAACACGTGGGGAGAGAGTAGTGAACAAAACAAGATCAAGATTTAAAATTCAAATTCTAAGCACTGACTAATTGATTTTGTTAGAAATTAAAAAAGACTCGAATTTACAAACTTTGCTTAACACACACGCAAAAGCGAATCCCCCCCATCAAAAAAAACTCGTAAAATTTCACACCTTGATGCGAAATGTTTTTTGGCCAATAGAAAACTAGGAAACATTTAAAAGCAAAATTCAAATAATCTTCAATTCTCAGAAACAAATTCTTTTACGGACCTTTTCGCGAGTCGACGCGAAGTTTGTTCGTCGTCCAATGGAAAGGCCCGAATCATATCCGGGAGCGAATTCCCAAATGACCTTTTCAAACCTCACAAAAAAATAAAAGACGGGCAAGTTCGCCTGTCACCAGCGAGAAGAAGACGAATGTATTAACACGTCCCTTGACAAACGTCAAGCGATCGTTATTATTATCTCTACCTTTCTCCCTCACCTCTTTTATACTTGATAAATGAACGGAACATTTTAAGACTGAGCGATTACTTCAAAGACATTCCTATCCTACGATAACGCTCATACATACATACATACATACATCCACACAAACGTTCCTGCCTACGTAGACATAAACTCATTCTAGCAAGGACTACTACGAACATTTTGACGACCTTGTATCAACCAAAATACATTAATTTTATTTGTAAAGACCTTAATTGATTTATATGTATATAAATTTCTTGTTTCACTTTACAATTTGATTTTCTTGTTTTATCCCCCTCTTATGGTGGTCTATCTAACTAACGAGGCCAAATCAAACTAATCTGTTTCAACACTATAACTGATAACCCACTATAAGAAAAACGTTTAAGAAAATTTCGAAAACCTGAGCCAAACCTGTTAAAGTATAAAGTTTTAAAAAAAGGAAAGCAACAAATTATTTTTCTAAGAAACAAAAATACTGAAAATCCAATTGTAAGTCACAAAATTTTAATTCTTCTCCGTAAAAATTCATATATCGTAAATAAATATCACTATATTAAATATTAGGTTTCTTTTTATGTACAATCCTCATTTTAGTCTATACAATAAGTTTTTGTTCAGAATCTTTCTAAAATTTTTTATATATATATATATATATATATATATATATATATATATTATCACTATATATTTCAAAATAATATAGACAAGTTTGTCTATTTATTTTATGTCCAATTTTCGTATTTCTGATAAGTTTGATAACATTATCATTAACCGAAAAAGAAATTCAAATATTTATCCATTATTTTTTAATATAATTAAACTTTCGGCTTACTCAAGCCATTATCAAAGAATAATTACAAACATATCAAACAATATACGGACACGAAGTGAATTTGTCATTGTTTATTTATATAGTATATATAACGATTAACACGCGCATATAAGACGCTATCGCACCGCATCTCATGACGTCACACATGACTACACGAGAGTGAATTGGAGAATGAAATAAGGAAAGCCGTTGGTATAAACAATGGCTTCTGTTAGAAATTATAGACATTTAAGAATATTTGTAGAGATTCCATAGTTTGATTTTGTTTAGGTTGGGTTTTAACTGTTTGATGTATAATGTCTATATTATTTAATGAAACGTATAAATATATATATATATATATATATATATATATATATATATATATATATCAAATGTATCTAAGCTCTAACAAAGTTTTACATCCATGTTAGATTTTAAACGTTTATTCTGAGTTTTTGGCCTTTCAATTAAACAAAATAAATAACAAAATATATTTTGTTTTCTTCCGAATCTTCTTAAAACAATTTTATATTTTAAACTTAATATGGATTAAATTTAAAATTGTTAATTTTTTATTTTCAATTTTATAGTAAAATTTGATATTAATTAGTTAGAATGAGGAAATGTTTTGGCCAATGAAAGAATTTCTGGTCGACCGGTTTTCTTAGTGGACAGAGGTATGTTAAATTCTTTAAGCACGTATCATTATCTACGCTATACGCGGTGCAACTTAAACTCTGTTGCCCTCACACAAAACGTACCCAAGTCAAGGTGAAGACACCCACGCAACATGGATAAAATGCATATTAGAGACACACACATGAACACTCACACAAACAAACACACACGCGCGCACGCGCGTACACACCGACACAACTGAATACACATTATGAATCCAGCATTGTGAAACAAGAATTATGATAATCCGATGAAATTTGTAAAACTGTTTTGACAACGTCAGAATGACATGTCTTCTATAATTGATATCATATGAATTGGCCTGCGTATTAAGAGGGCATCACGCCATTCTTCTTCTAGATCTCTTTATATATATATATATATATATATATATATATATATATATATATATATATATATATATATATATGTGTGTGTGTGTGTGTGTGTGTGTGTGTGTGTGTAGAAAGAGATGTGAAAGGAATGGGATAGATGAATAGATGTATATATATATATAGAGAGAGAGAGAAAGCGATATGAAAAGAATGAAATGGATATGAATAAACTTTATCTATATATAATGAGGAATCAGAGAGCCGAGTTCGAATTCCAGTCGAATCCATTACATTCACTTATGTGCTAATACCCTTGGGAAAGGTATGAATCCTCTTCTTCTCCCCTGATTTATTTATTAACACAAACAAAACAATTTATTATAATTTATAATAAAAAAGGAGGCACTCTGGAGTAATGGATAGCCGCTCGGATTGAGGAATCAGAGATCCGAGTTCGAATACCAGTCGAAACCCTTACATTCACTTATGTGCTCATACCCTTGGGAAAGGTGTGAATCCTCTTCTTCTCCCTCCAGCTATGGGTAAAATAGCAGGACAGACTGGGTTCTATAGCCTTGGATGGCAACTGGTCTAGGAGAAGGACAACTCTGAATTCAAAACCTGCGGAGGGTCGTTTGGGAACCTTGTGGCATTCGGTGCACCAGGTCTCTGTATTCGTCTCTTCAAAAAGTGTGGATGGTCCTGCACGAAACTTTCACCAATATAATCAAATCTCATGTGCCGGTGTCGGGGTGTCGGTTTCCTGGGAACTGATCTGCTTGACACTCATACGTCGAATTCGATGGGAGAGGCGAGTATATATATATATATATATATATATATATGTGTGTGTGTGTGTGTGCAGATATGAATAAGATTATATATTTATATAGAGAGATATATTAGCTTATTCATTTCTATCTCTAGATATGCTAGAAAGGAGGAAATAAAGAAAATGCTAAATAGATAGATAGATAGATAAAGAGATAG